TGTTGGCTTAAAAATGTGCAATTCTGGTCACCTGCTATAGGAAGGATGTTGTGAAACGGTTCAAAAAAGATTTTCGAGGATGTCATCAGGGTTGGAGGGTTTGAGCTATGGGGAGAGGCTGAATAGACTGGTGTATATTTTCCCAGAGTGTCGGAGGCTGAGGGGTGACCTCATAGAGGTTTATAAAATCGTGAGGGGCATAGATAGGGTGAATAGCCAAGGTCTTTTCCACGCAGTGGGAGTATCCAAAACTACAGGGCATAGATTTATAGTAAGAGGCGAAAGATTTAAAAGGGATCTAAGGGGCAACTTTTTCACGCAGATAGTGGTGCGTGTATGGAATGAGCTGCCAGAGGTAGTGGTGGAGGCCGGTACAATTATAACATTTAAAAGGCATCTGGATGGGTACATGAATAGGAAGGGCTTAGAGGGATATGGGCCAAATGCTGGCAAATAGGACTAGATTTATCTAGGACATCTGGTCGGCATGGACAAGTTGGACCAAAGGGTCTGTTTCTGTGCTGTACTTCTCTATGACTCTATTCAATGACCTGACTCCACTGCCATCTGAGGCAAAGAATTGCAAAGTCATACAGACCTCTGAGAGAAAAAATTGTTACCTGTGTTTTAAAAGGGTAACCCCTAATTTTTAAACCATGACCTCTAGTTCAGGACTCATCCACAAGAGAAAATATCCTTTCTATGTCCATCTTGTTAAGCATATTAAGGATCTTATACACTTCAATCAAGTTACTCTTCCCTCTTCTAAACTCCAGTCAAAAAAAAGCCTAGCTTGATCAACCTATCCTCATACAATGACCCACTCTTTCCGAGTATCAATGTAGTAAACCACTTCTGAACCACATCCAATGAATTTACATCTTTCCTTAAATAAGGACACCAAAATGCACACACAGTTTGACATGTGATCTAGCTAGATCCCCGTATAACTGAAGAATAAAACCTTACTTTTATGTTCAATTCCTGTTGTAATGAAGCACAGTAACACATTACCATTCTTGATTACTTACTTGTACCTGTTTCCTTTTTACATACCTGCAGAAACTTGTTATTCATTTTCTAACTAGCTTTCTTTCATATTCTAATTCTTCTCTCCTGATTAATCTTTGTCATTCTCTACTATTCTTTATAGCCTGTCCAATTATCTGATCTGCCACTCACCTTTGCACAATTATATGTTTTGTCCTCAAGCCTGATGCTTTTGATTCAATGGGCCGAATGGCCTACTTCCACACTGTAGGGATTCTGTGATTCTTTCCTTTAGTGATAGTCATTGTTGTTAAATAGGAAATGTGACAGCCAATTTATACAGCAGGACTCCAAAAGTAACAGTGAGATATAACAATGGCCTGATACGGGTTTGTACTGATGTTGGTCAAACGACAAATCGCAGTCAGTAGAGCAGAGACAACGCTCCTGTTTTCATTCAGACTAGCTCCAGAGGCTTTTTTATGCCAAACTGAAGTGCAGACAGGGCTAAATTAAGCTGTGAATGCATGAGTGCAGTGGAGATAAAGTGAACAGCAAATATGACTCCTCAAGAAACCAGATTACGGTCAAATCCAATTATTCTAAGTATTTGTATCAAGCTATAGAAATATTGAAATAGTCTTTCACTAAATTTACCACATTGTCACTGAGTGGGATCCACTCAGTCCCCTACAAGGGCAGGTCAGAAGGTTTGGCCAAGGGGAATGGATGTATGTTAGTATTGGATCAGTGTGCCGACATGTTCCATTGTCTGGACAATTATCCCAGAGGCAGGTTATAAGTTGCAGAATATATTCATCCAACTGTCAGAAGGGCAGGCAATCTGAATAATTTCCTGCCATTTTGAAGCTGGCCAATGACTGGTGTCTTCCCAGTGCCTGATGTGCCTCCAACAGAGGGCCAAGCCCGGCAGATAGCAGGAGGTTACAAATCCCTCCTCACCCCTCACACTGGAGCAACATTGACCAATGGGGACATAGCTCCAGGTAGCTGCTGTTTGGTTGTGGTGGGTGGTGTGGAAAGAATTTACTTTTGTACAATTAAAATCTTTTCAGGAGTTGTTTCAAGAAAGCGGCAGCCTTGCAGTGTCCACTTCTTGAAGTGAGGCAGCCAACATTCAAAGGGTACAGGCCCTCAAAATTAGACTCATGAGCTGCATCGGTAGGGTCCCTACCTCTGGGCCTAAAAGTCCAGGTTCAAGCTCCATCTTTCACCAGACACATGTACAGGCTGGTTTGAATCACTACAGACCCTCCAACTGAACCTGCAGCCTCAGGAATCTACCTACCATCCTGATCTAGATAGTGAATCCAGAGACAACTTTTTACTGGTCCTCCTCCAGAAAGATCTCCCAGGTCAGCACCACGGCAACCAGTCAGGGACTCAGATCCCAGACATGATCCTTCATAATTACATTTAAAGGGTGGGTGGGGGGGATGGTGCTGTGCATGCTGAAGAATGTACGAATTGCACAAAAGAGTATATTATGCAAGACATTTATGAAAAACATTAAAAGAAAATCTGTAGCATAGCATCGAGTCATAGCATCCCCAGGGTGGAAAGAGACTATTCAGCCCATCAAAATTGTACCAATGCAATATTCCAATGTTTTCTTACACACTTCAAATCTTTCTTCACCTAAAACTTTGTGGCCCAATGCTAACTCACTGCAATTCCCATTTGCTCATCAATCCCTGCGATTATTGATCTACACTGGCTCCCAGTCCAGCTATGGCTCGACTTTATTATTCTCAACCTTGTTTTCAAATTCTTCCATGGCTTCACCCTTCTATATATCTGGTAATCTAATCCAGCCCCATAACCGTCTATGTTCCTCTAATTCTGGCCTTTTGTGAGCTCTTTTTATGCGACTTGGCAGCTATGCCTTCAGGTGCCCGTGCTGTCAGCTCTAAACCTCTCTGTCTCTGTCTCGCTCGCTCTCTCCTTTAAAACGCCTTATAATCCACCCTGACTCAGTTTTTGTTCACTTTGACTAATACCCCTCCTGAGCATTTTCTGCAAGTATCTTATTGACTTGTGTTTGGGAGCTCTCCTACTTTGAAGCTTTTTACTATATTAAAGGTGCTTTATAAAATCTAGGTTGCTGCAAAGCTTTGTCAGGTATTAAGCATGTGTGAGTATTTCAATGATTTCTGAGCCATGTCCGATTCCTAAGGAGAATAAAGATGGCCACTAGGGTCATCAGTACTGTCACCATTTTGATTAGAGCAGAATGCTCTCTTTTTGTGCTCAGTCATAGTTGTTGACAACAGCTATATCAACATGATTTGAGAATATGTCTGTCCATTCATTGGCTTTGTCAAAAAAAACACTCAAATTGAACTGTGATGCATTCATATTCTTAACAAGTAACTTTCCGACCAGCTGTTAATCTCATACCACGACCAATGCTAAAGGTTCTCCCTCTTCACCCACTTACAGAAGAGAAAGCAAAACTAGTATCCTTGAGGTGAAGGAAGACTACGTTGCCCAACAGGGTGGCATAGCCAGGTGCACTCAGACGTGAAGAGTAACTGCTGGGAGAAGATAAGACTATTGTGTGTGAAGCGACAGTGCAACATCAACCACTGCCTTCGGTGAGGAGGAGAAAATCAAACAGTGAGATTTTCCCCAAGTGCTCATTCCAGATGTCTTCCAAAGAATGAGTCAGCTATAACATTTCATAATAGAAGAAAGCATTGCTGCCAGCTCATCGTGTCATTTTAAAGAACCGACCATCATTATTTTGTCCATCTTCCCATAGTCTATACTTATGCCTGTGAGTGCATGTATATGTTTTTATGTGTACGTATTTGTGCGTGGGGCTATATGAGAACTTGTGTACTTGTTTATGTGTGTGAATGTGTGTGCCTGTACAGCTGTGTTTACGAGCATATATCTCTGCACTGGTGTGTGGTTATTTGAGAGTAAGTATGTATGTTTCGTGTTTATCTGGGCAAGTACCTTCTCATGTAGGCCTGTGTTGTTTATATTTGTGTTATCTTTGTGTGTGCATATGTGTGTGCGTCAAAGTGGTTGGTTCTCTGTGAATCCTTAAGTGTTTGTGTGTGTCTGTCTGCCTGTGTGTGCATTGGCCTGTATGCCTGTGCTTTGTGAGTGTATGTGTGCCTCCACTTGCAAGTTAGAAATTAGATCTGTCTCTAAGACCACATTACAGAAGTTACTCACACTTACTCCTCCTGGCTTTGAGAAAAAATTCACTTCATTTAGTTCACTCTGCACCTGACAAGGCAAAAGTGCTTCTCACAGTATTTGCGGATAATAAACCCAAGGTCGCTGACTGCTATGATGCTAACTGAACAAAATCTGAAATGTCTAAAAATATTCAGCAAGTCAGACAGCATCTGTGGAGGAACATGAGTGAGCTAAACCTTGAGTTCGTTTGCCTGAACGCAGTTATATTTCATTTTGTTTTCAAACTCCAATATCGAACTATAGAGCACAGGAAGAGCCAAGCTGTGCACAAATGCACTCTACTATATAGTCCCACAGTTCAGCTCCTTTCCATAACCTTGCAAATGTATGTACCTTTTCTGAGTATTTATGTAAGTCCTTACTGAAAGTTATGATTGAACTTGCATCTTTGTGGTGCATTCCTGACTGTGACAAACTCCTTCCATATAAAGAAAGAGAGGGTGTTTGTGTTTGAAATTTACATCAAACCCGTCCTCTGGTTACTCTTGCTCCCACCAGAGGGAACAGTTCCTCCCCAACTGCTCTTCCAAACTCTGTATGATTCCGAAATCTCCTCCAGTAGCTCGGTGGGATCATTCTATTCTCTGGGACAGCAATCCCAGCCCTTCCACCTGTCTTCAGTCCCCTGGTGTTATCCTTGGAGGTTATGCTATGCACCACCTTCCAAGTCCTGGTTTGATTTTACTGTGAGTCTTGCTGCTTCAAGTTAGGAGGGGAGGTGGCGAGGAAGTGGAGGGACTTTTGCCACGAACCCCCCGGGGGCTAGCACTCACCTGGCTCACGTCCTCTTGATCCTCAGCGCCTCTGATGTGCTGGCGGTCATTGTCGGTGAGGAGGTCATCTTCGGATTCTTCAAAGAGGGAGGAGCCCGTGGACGAGAGGGACGAGCTGGAGAGCTTGCGGCACACTTTGAAGTTGGGGTCCGGCTCCAGGCTGTCCTGGGTGGTGCCCTCCTCCGAGGTGACGGTGAGCTGCGGGACATTCGGGAGAAGGTGAAGCTGGGGCTGGAATGGCAGGTTGTCCACCAGCTGGAGCGAGGACGCTGTCAGCCTGCAGAGTGGGCTCTCCTCCTGCTGGCCTGCAGCAGTGGCGGCAGCGGCGGAGCTCAGCTCCAGCACGCTGAAACTGTCTGGCGGCTGCACCGGGGAGCTCCTCTTCACCCGGGACGGCTCGCTCACCGAGCACGACTGGCGGTGAAGCATCGTGCGATCCTTCGCATGGGGTGACCTGCAATACTTCGGAAGACCTAGACAACTCTGCATGGAGGTCCTGCTCTGCAGCCCTCCTGAATCTCGCTCTCTCTCTCTCTCTCTATCTGTCTGTAGGCTGCAAGATCCCAAGACTGCAACTACTGACAGATGCGGAAGTTCCGATGTCAGCATCTAGCAACTTGCGCTGAGAACGGGGCAGGGAACCCAGCTGCTGACTCAGGCACTAACTCTCATAGCCGAACACACTCAGTCATTCACTCGTTCTCTCACATTCAATCGCACTCACTCACTCATATTCAATCACACTCATGCACACACACACAGTCACTCTCACTCAGTCCTTCACACATTCAATCACACAGTCGTGCTCACACATTCAGTCTCACTCAGTCACACACACACGCTTTCAGTTACTCTCTTATAGAGTCACACTCACTCATTCAGTTTCAGACACACACTCAGTCACTCTACCTTTTTTTTAAAAAACAGCTATGATAATTTTGTTGAAAGTCAATTTGTTGGGATGTTTTATGCGTGTACATCCAGTATATGCATATGTACATCCAGTCCAAAAGTGGTACAATAAGTTGGTATATTCTCACCGTTGGTTTTCAGAATATAGTTTTCGGATTGTAAGCATCGCTATTTGATTTAACATTTAATGCCCAGTCTTCATTATTTTTGAGAAGGTGGTGATGAGCTGCCTTGCAGCACTACTGCAGTCCTTGTGGACACAATGCGTAATTGCTCAACTTCAGGTTCATTGTGGACAATAACATCAAAACAGTTCTGTTAGGAAGGGAGCTTCAGGATTTTCGCTCAGTGCTGTGAAGGAACGACGATATAGTTTCAGAGCAGGATGATGTGTGGCTTAGAAAGGAACTTGGCTAATTCTCGTGCGTTTGATATTCTTGTCCTTCTGGGTCTGTAGTCTCCAACATTTTGAGTGTGATCAACTGGTCGATCAGAATCTCTGACAGTTAATCTCGGCCCCTGCCTACATTCTCTCGCGAATGGGCTGTGGCTATTTTCCCTGGAGTGTCGAGAATGAGGGCTGACCTTATAGAAGTTTGTAAAATCATGAGGGGCATGGATAGGGTGAATAACCAAGGTTGTTTCCCCAGGGGAGGGGAGTCCAAACCTAGAGGGCATAGGTTTAAGGTGAGAGGGGAAAGATTTAAAAGGGATCTAAGGGGCAACATTTTTCACGCAGAGGGTGGTGCATGTATGGAATGAGCTGCCAGAAGAGGTGGTGGAGGCTGGCACAATTACAACATTTAAAAGGCATTTGGATGGGTACATGAACAGGAAATGTTTAGAGAGATAGGGGCCAAATGCTGGCAAATGGGACTAGATTAATGTAGAATATCTGGTTGGCGCAGATGAGTTGGACCAAAGGGTCTGTTTCCGTGCTGTACATCTCTATGACTCAATGACCTGCCTATTGATCATCATGCCATTGCAGGACTCCCACTTCCAGAAGTCACATAGCTAGAGAAAAGTGCATGCTCTTAACAGGCTTTGCCAGCTTGTTGGACTGTGTTTCAGCTTGGTTCAATGGATTATCATTGTGGAGTAAAGTAACTTTTATGGTCGTAACAAATTCAAACATAATTTGTTTGAGAAAACAATTCTGATCAAGAAGCTGGTTTCCATCACAATTGATGGTGCATCTGCCATGCTTGGTGCAGTTGTAGGCTTTGATACATTTTGCATAAATGATCTTGATTTCCCCACTTTTGTCAATTACCACTTACAATCCACCACCAAGCATTCATGAGTAAAGTTATGGGCTTTTCTCATGTAACAAAAGTTGTTGTGATGGTTATAAACTTAATTCGAGCAAGAGCCCTTCAGCACCATTTGTTTAAGGCCTTGCTCGAAAAACTCAATGATGTTTAAGGTGAACTAATTTTCCACAATGATGTGAGGTGGTTACGTTGAGGGAAGATCCTATGAAGATATTTAGATCTGATGCCAGAAATTGTCACTTTTCTTAAATCAGGAGTGTGCAGTGAGTTGTTGTGTGGTCACTGAACTTTAGGTTCCTTACTGACATAACATCAGAATTGAACGAGCTGAACTGAGAACAACAGAGAAAGGACAGACACTCAACACATATGACCAGTGCTGTGAATGCATTTAAATTGAAACTGGGCTGTGGTCCAAATTAAGACAAACGCTGCAACACTTCCTGTGTCCAGAGAAAAGACTTGAAAAAAAATCAAAGACCGAGAAAACTGGTTCCGCCCAGAAAGCTTCAGTGCACACTTGAAGAAGTTAGCAGAGGAATTCAACAGGCCATTTCAGGAATTAGATGTGATGGAATAAATCATCACCATTGTCTCAAATCCAATCCTTCAAGTGTACATTGATGGGCCTGCTACCAAATGCCGTCAGCTTTTTGTTTTTGTAAACAGTGGAGTTGATATGCAGATATTCACGATACTAAATGACATTGAGCTGAAAGTCAAATCAAGGGACAGTGATTTGTGGGGACTTGTAAACAGAGAAACACATACCTCTGTGAGACAGCGATCACCCAAATGAAGATAATCAAATCCACGCACCACACCCAGGTCACAGACCACCATTTGATGGGTTGTATATAACTATCAGGCTCAAACTGTCTGTTGTCTATTTTCTTAGGGGTAGATCCTGGGCACTGGAAGCTGTCCCTTTGGGAGCAATAAATTAACAACCAGATAAATTGCTTTAGTAATGTTGGCTGTGGGATAAATATTGGTCGGAATAACACTGTGTTATATTTTACATCCACCTGACAGGACAGTCAGTACCTTGGTTTACCACATCCTGTTTACAATTTTGCTGTCCTTATTGAAGAAAGGACATAACTACATTAGAGGCATTCAGAGAAGGCACACATGACTAATTCCTGGGGTAGAAGAGCTTACCTTTTCAGAAAATGTCGGTCAGATTGGACCTGTATCCATTGGAGTTTGGGAGAATGAGAATCTTATTGAATATCCTTAAGGCACTTGACAGGATGAATGCTGCAAGGATATTCCCCCTTGTGGGTGAGACTGGAACTAAGGGTCACAGTTTAAAAATAAAGGCACTTCCATTTAAATTGGGATCCATTTTCTCCAGAGATTGGTGAAGGCACCGTCATTGAATATGTTTAAGGCAGAGGTAGATAATTCTTGATTGACAAGGCAGTCAAAGGGCATTGGGGCAGGCAGGAAAGTGGAGTTGAAGCCATGATTGTATTGAATAGTGGAGCAGGCTTGAAGGCCAAAAGGCCTACCCCCTTTCCCATATCAGAATTCTATGTTCAAGAAAGCATGTCTGCCAGTATAGCACTCCCTCTGCAATGCACTGGAGAGTCCAGTTAGATCATATGTACAAGTCTGTTATCCTGTTACCTTCATGATTTAGAGGTGAAGAGCTGCCAACAACCAAATCTTGACTGCACAGTGCATTTGTTCCCCGATTGTATCATTGCTCATATTTCCATTTTCTACCTGTTGCTACTTTTGTTTTCTATCTAGATACAGAATTCTACCTCCAAGGTGTGTCATTGTCATCTGCAATATAGATTGACATTCTGACCCTATCATCTAGCCTATCTGTCTATTTGAGGTTCTAACTAAAGTTTCACATGAGTTAGTCAAGTCACTTCACTGGGGAAGCGTTGTGATTTTCCAATGTTTTTCTTGTGCCCTTAGTCTTCAGTGTAATTTCTTTCAAGTGAGCTACAATCCAGACTAATGTTGCCGACTTACCTTTGAGACAACTGCACCATAATTTACTGGATAGCAATGATACTCCAGTCTTCTCTGGCTGGAATTCCGTGGAGCACAGCCCAAACTGAGCCCATCAGATTCAGGAAGGGATCCCACTGCCTAGCCAGTGATCACTCCATTTGGTTGTGATCATCCTGCTGGATTTCAGGCCAAGACTGAGAGTCCATCCTTTGGCTGCTGTGTTGACTAGAGGTCAGTTATTTTCACTAAGGTACAGGTTGAAAATCCACTCTGGGACTTGAGGATGTGTTTCTAAGTCAATATATCTGTGTAATGCTGGAGGGCTGCTGCAAGATTGGAGATGCTATGTTTTGGAAGGGATGGTTGCTGTCATCAGAGGCAGCATCCTTCAACCTATGTGAGATGGAATATCTCCTGTCAGTTATAAGATATACCTTTGCTGATAGTTGAAGGGCCAACCAGTGAGAGGCAGGTTTTAACACAAATGTTGCCTTTAGGACGGTTATCAAGTGTCAGTGGGAATTACAATTTATGGTGCTGATGCCTGTTGTCAAAGCTGATGTAACCACTGATTATCATGGTAGCGCACACTAAAGTCATCATTTTCTTCTGTGTTGCCTAGCATTTTCCACTTGTGAAAATGGTTGTTCAGGGCACGATGAGCCTTCATGTCACTCGTAAACATCTTGGTCTTTCTCTGTGGCTACGCCCACCATATTGAATAGGAATGCATCTGTCATCCATTCTGCAAATGATCCTAAGCTAGCAAAGTGGCCTCTGCTTATTGAGTGCAATGGACTTGATCGACTTGCCCTTGAGAGGACTGGCACATTCTTGCTTTAGACCTTCCATAAGATGCTATATGGATGAAATCCTCTCAGGTAGATATGAAAGATCTCATTTTTTAACAATGCAGAGTCTTGGAGAACTCTTGATGTCCTGACCAATATTTATCCCTCAACTGACTTCACCAAACCTGATTCTGGTCATTGTCCCTTTGCTGTTTGAGCAAACCTGCTGTGTGTAAATTGCTATGTTTAACAAATGTGGGGGAGGTGTGTGAATGAGGCATACAAATTATGGATGGACACTGACTACATGTCTTTACAATATGAGGAAGGATTCCTTCCCACGTTCGGCAGTAAAGCCATATTGACTGTAATGCAATTATTCCTGTGTGAAGATCAAAGTTGCGATCTTTCTCGGGTAATAGAACAAACACTCCACTCAACTGGAAGCTGAACACTTGAAAAGAGATTTCTTAAACAATAGAGTGAACTGAGCAATGAATTAATCCAGGCTTGGAGTAGTTACAAATTTAGCAATCTTTCTTTGGGGGATGGAACCTATTAGTCATGTTAGATTGCCAAGTAATCTGGACGAGACACAAGCTCCTATTATCTGGTTGTTTGCTGTGGATTGTCTCACTAAATTATCCA